GGGGTGCGAACTCCTAAGTTTCATGGATGCCTTCAAGGGTTACCACCAAATCTACATGGCCAAGGAGGATGAGGAAAAGACGTCATTCCTCACACCCGAAGGAACCTACTGCTATCGGGTAATGGCGTTTGGCTTGAAGAACTCGGGGGCAACCTACCAGCGCATGGTGAACAAGCTCTTCAAGCCACTACTGGGAAAGACCATGGAGGCATACGTCGACGACATGCTGATCAAAAGCCAGGTATCTCTGAACCACTCGGCTGATATGCGAGCCACGTTCGATATCATGGCAAAGTACAACCTCCGGCTGAATCCTAAGAAATGCGTTTTCGCGGTTCGTACCGGGAAGTTCTTGGGATTCATGGTGACCAAGAGAGGAATAGAGCCCAACCCAGAGAAAATCTGGGCTATCACTGAATTGCAAGCCCCTACCTCCATTAGGGATGTTCAAAAGTTGACCGGTCGTTTAGCGGCCCTCAGCCGGTTCCTTTCCCGGTCAGCTGAGAGATCTCTGCCCTTCTTCAAAGTTCTGAAGAAGGCCAGCGCATTTGCATGGGACGAAGAATGCCGGAGGGCATTCGAGGAGCTGAAAGAGTACCTAGCGTCGGATATTGTATTGTCTAAACCCGAACCGGGTGAAACTCTGTATCTGTACCTGGGAATTTCCCCAAATGCTGTAAGCTCCGTTTTAATAAGAGATGATGGGCCACAAAAGCCCATTTATTATGTGAGCAAAGCACTAAACGGGGCGGAGAGTAGATATACGGCTATGGAAAAGACGGTAGAAGTCTTGACTGACCAACCGCTGGGTGCAGTGTTGCGAAATTCAACATCCTCCGGGAGGATGGTGAAGTGGGCGATGATGTTAACTCAATTCCACATTGAGTACCGGCCAAGGTCAGCGTTCAAGGGACAGGCCCTAGCTGACTTCCTAGTAGAAATGACTGGTCTAACTCCAGACTTACCGGTCAACAAGCCCACTGAGCAATGGTGGGAGATGGCAGTTGACGGGGCATCCGGTCCTAGAGGATACGGGGGTGGTATCGTGTTCACCACCCCAGAAGGGTTCAAGATCTACCATGCGATCGTCTTCAACTTCAAGCTGACGAACAATGAGGCAGAATATGAAGCTTTGGCTGGAGGGCTCAGACTTGCCCAAGCCCTGAAAATCAGCCGGGTCAGTATCAAATCTGACTCTAGCCTGATAGTAGGGCAGGTGACCGGTAACATGGAAGCAAGGGAAGGACGCATGGCACAATACAAGGACCTTGTACTTGCCCTGTTGAAGGGCTTCGAAGAATTCAAAATCGCCCAGATTCCCCGGGCGGAGAACGCGGATGCAGACCTTCTCCCCAAATTGACGCAGTATGCTCCCGAGCATGTTTCGAAACTTGCCCGGGTAGAGATCCTTGACCGCGCAAGCATCGAGAAATTGGAAGTTGCCGCTATAGCGGCCGGAAGCCAGTATGACCGGTCGAATTTGGTCGGGGCAGACGACCATTGGATGTATGATCTGATGGAATATCTGACGGATGGGAGCTTGCCAGAACAGGATGACCGGGCAAGGAAAGTGAAGCTCAGGGCACCCCGATTCCATGTTCTCGATGGAAAGCTGTATAAAAGGGCATTTGGGGGGCCACTCCTGAGATGTCTAACCAACCGGGAGGCTGAGCGAGTCATCGCGGAGGTCCACGAAGGCGTATGCGCGGCGCATCAAATGTCCCGTACGCTTTCCCAACGCATCATCTTGTTGGGGTATTACTGGCCAACGATTGTCCAGGATTGTGAAAGGTACGTCCAGAAATGCAGGACGTGCCAAGTATTCTACAAATATCCCGGTAGACCGGCGACCTACTACCATCCCGTATCGAATGTCATCCCATTCGCTAGATTCGGGGTTGATATCATTGGAGCCTTTCCAGTCGCCCAAGGAGGAAAGAAGTTCGTAATCGTAGCCATCGATTACTTCACCAAGTGGATTGAGGCCGAAGCATTGGCCAACATCACCACGCAACAATGTAAGAAATTCATTTGGAAGAACATCATCACGAGGTTTGGAGCGCCCATGAACCTCATCACCGACAACGGCCCACAATTCCGAAATCCAAGATTCACAGAATACTTGGAGGGCTTCGGGATCAAGCACAATCGCTCTTCGGTGGCGTACCCCCAAGGAAATGGCCAAGTCGAAAACGCCAACAGAACTATTGTAGATGGTTTGAAGAAACGGCTGGGAGAGGCAGGAAACAAGTGGCTGGAAGAGCTCCCACACATCGTATGGGCATTCCGAGTAACTCCCAGGAGGGCTCATGGGGAAACTCCATTCTCCCTAACCTATGGGTGTGAAGCAAGGCTGCCCATCGAAGCTGAATTCCCCACATTTCGGGAGTCAAATTATCAACCCCAGCAAAATGAGGAAGATCACTTGGCCGAACTCAACTTGGTCGAAGAGCGGAGAATGGCCGCAGAAGTTAAAATGAGTACGTACCAACAAGTTGTGAAGAAGTACCATGACAACAAGGTTGGGCCGCGGTACTTCCAAGTTGGTGATGAAGTCCTACGAAGAAGAGAAGCAAGTAGACCCAGCAACGGGGGAAAGCTAGCAAAAAACTGGGAAGGCCCATATAGGGTTAGAGCCATCATTCGCCCGGGGACCTACCGGTTAGAAACTCTTGAAGGGGTACCAGTAGAAAGAACCTGGAATTCCCATCATCTTCGCAAGTTCTACAAATGATTGTAATACTAGGCAAGGCCTACTTTATTATCAATCAAATCGATGATGTTCAATACTCTATTTGGTAGCGGCAGAATTGGAAGGTCGAACCTATCCTAGGAGGGCTTCCTGGGTGGATCGAATCCACTTGGATAAGCCAACTGAGACACAGGCCCGGACCTGGCACGCTGGTTACTACACCGGTCTTGCTCAGTATAATAAAAAAAATATCAAAACCCGGAAGAGGGGCCCGGAAGAGGGTATGCCTGCAAGAGGGCTGGACCTGGAAGAGGGTTCGAACCGTACTTACACGGGCCCATGAGGTTTGACTGGTGTCGGGGAATCAGCCGGCGCCGTCAAATTGATTGGGGACTAAAAAGATGCCCATTAAAAGAAATAGAAGCGGATCGTCCACCGCGGCGCATCCTATATCCCCCTTCTCAGGGAAGACTTGAACGGGGGGGGTGAGCTGAGGCCTTCCCGGGATGGTAGAAATCAAAGGGCCATTAAAAGACTTAATCACCCGGAAGAGGGGGCCCTGGAAGAAGGGTGCATTTGAACCTTGGAGAGGGTTCGAAACCATTCGACATGGTTAAATCTCCAGTATTCTTACCGGTTAAGGATACTTCAAGAATTTATAGGTTACAGGTGTTTCCATCTACAACCTACCGGTTTAAAATAAAAAAAAAAAAAAAGAGATACCCCGGTCGGGTATGGGCACGACAGAACTTCGAAAGTTCTACGTCCATCGGAAGGCAAGGCAGGTGACCCGGTCGGGTATGGGCACGACAGAACTTCGAAAGTTCTACGTCCATCGGAAGGCAAGGCAGTTGGAATTTACCGGTCAAATTGAAGAATTTTTGAAGCTATCCAAAATAAGAAAGTAAAGTTCGGCCGGTCAATTGAAGTTTAACCGGTCAAAAGTTCTCGGGCTGATCCTTGAAATGAAGTGACCAGAGAGAAACTTTGAAGTTATACCGGTCAGGATATCTAGGATGGTATTCTAAGGAGCAAGATCAAAGTATAAAATCAACAAGTAAGCAGATATGGAAGAATAACCGGGTTGGAAAACAAACATGGCATTCAAACAAAAAATGTGAAGTGTTTACATATTACACCGGGCATTCCCGGGAAAATGAGCTTAAAATTCAAAACGATCCAAGGGGAAAGGGGGCTCGGGTTCTTCGTCTGGGATGGGCGGCAGGCCATAAGCATCGGCAGAGAAGGCCGGGTCCCGGTCAGCCAGGATTGCGTGGGTAGCCTCCCGGTCTCGTTTCTGCCCGGACATGAAACCGTAGGACCCGACCTGGGTGACCATTTCCTTCCCGTTGGGTTCCCGGTAGATAAACTTGAACGCCTCCATCGTCACCTCCGGGGTAGAAGTAATCACCCGGGCCGTTTCCTCCAAGTTTTCCCCCACCCATTGCTTGGCCTTGCCGGGGAACTCTCGCTCCTTTAGCTCCAGGTCCTCCGCCAGCTTCAGGTTCTCCTCCTTCAGCTGGAGGGTCTCTGCCTTGGCCCTCCCGGCAATTGCTGAAAGATTGGCCATTTCATCGAGCTGTCGGGCTATCAAGTCCTGCAGCTCCCGGTTTTGGGCCTCGACTCCTTTCAGCTTCTCCTCCAGCTGG